GCTGGAGAAGGCTGCCAGCCGCGCCAACACCGTTCGCAGCTTCCACCACGAAGGTGAGGTGTGGAGCAAGGAGTGGGGGCCAGGGTGGGGAGGCACCCTGCAAAACTCCCAGCAAGGGAAACCCGCAGGCCATCTCTGGAGCAGTAACTTCATTAGGGAACCGCAGACATTGACAGGCTCCGGTTTCCCTGTACAGCCCTTTCTGAATCTGATTTTTACACGCTGCTTGTGTGGCTGGGAAGCCAGGGATTCCCCTTTGGTAAATCCGCACCCTTTCCTGGCTTGCAGCCAGAAGAGCGACTCCTCCCCCAGAGACTGGAGAGAAATCAAGTGATGGGGAAGATGAGGGCAAAAGGCATGCCCCCTGGTCAGCTAAATTTGCAAGAATTCCATAGGGGCACGAGGAAAAGGAGGGGGGTCCCATTGGGATGTCTTTAAATCTGTTTGGAAGCCTTTGCCCTGTAAATCAGGTCTCTTGCTTAAACTGAGGTTTTAGACTAGATATAGTAAGGGCAGAATTTTCAGAGATACTGTTGACAGTCAAAGCTCAGGGCTCCAAAGTCTTTTCTAATTTACAGTTGATCTGGACCAAGATTTGGAATCCCTATCTAATCCCCGTGGGAGATCAATTCCACAATCAATCTTTCTGTGTACAGGAGGACCTTGTGTGTGCCTAAATCTGAGCTAGCATCCCAGTAGAGGATAGGCAAGCCTTCGGATAAAAGGTTTTGCAGCAGCTGCCTATATCCTTCAAATGCATTGAAATGTGATTTTTTTTTTCTTTTGTGATACTGGATGTAGTTTCTCTAAGGTAGGCTCTTTCTGCTTGTTTCATCAGAAAGGCATCTAATGGTTTTGAAATGTTGTAGAGCAGCTATTGAGATCAGTTGTAACTAAGTTCTTGAAATGATTAGTCCAAAACATGTTCCATCTCAATTGTTTTTCAACACTTTTAAATGTCCCTTTGGCTTAATGTATCCTAAAGAGAGTAGGGATTTCTTTGGATTCTAGGAAAGCGTACAAGTTGTGTGTCACATAGCAACCACTTGTAGGATATTGCGGATTTGGGAGTGACGTTCCGTTTTTTTTTTTTTTTTTTTTTTTTTTTTCTTCTGTCTCCTACATT